AGTGAAGGAAGCCTGTGAAAATGGAGACATTCATTTGGATTTATGTCTGTTTGTTCAGCACTACTCACAGACTGTAGCCCGTCACATATTCACCCAGAGAAGTGCACACATCTGTTTGATTATGGATATGACTCAGTCAGCGCTAGTCCTACATCATAGTCAGGGTTCAGAAAGAGGACACATGCTGTTCTGCAATACCGCAGAGACAGATGTTGATGTTGAAAAAGTTAAACCCAACTCCAACATGAGTTCAGCATATGGTTGCAGTTACAGAGGTTGGGTGAGATGTGGCCTGCATTTCTCCTTCTGTAACTGCTTATGTGTGATGTTGGAGCATTCATCATTTAGAATAGATTACTGTAAATGTATTCCTAAAACAATCAAATCAGTCAGGCAAAAGCCGGCCTAAGCCAAGATGTTGCACCAGTTCAGTCACTGTTTGTTTTTATGTTAAAGGTTGTGGCTGTGCCATGGTGACTGGGTATCAGGAGCTGAGTCTGACAAGGAGGAGAAGGAAAGGAGTGAGAGGAGGAGGGACAAGGACACTGAGAGCAAAAGAGCAGTCTCCACTCTGTAAAACTTGATATACAATCGAAAGATAATCCTCCCCAATGCCCACAACTGGTTTCCATCTCCACCAAGTTGGCCACACGAATGAGATTTAAAAGAAGGAATATAGGGCTGACAAATTAGATCTATAGTAAATATATAAACCATGAGTCATGAGGATGCACAGAAAGCTGTCTGTCTCTTCTTGGATTCAATGTCTTTCCCCCTTTCACTCCTTATTTCTCCTGCCTCTGCACAGGGACTTCAATAAAGATTTTGTCTCAGTGTCAATTTTTGTGAATATGTAGATATATTAAATTAAAATGTTGGCTGATGTTATACAGCTGAGCTCACTAGGTTAAAGGTTACCAGGTTAGAGGCTGAATTCCTACTGGCGCCATGCACTAAATAAAAAAAACAAACAAAAAGAAAAAAAATTCAGTCATAAGACAAACATATAGTTAGCTATTTTGGAAAACATGCTTATTTACATCTTTGTTTAGAATTAGACAAGATAAGCAATTCCACTCTCACAGCCATACCTGGACTACAGTATATAGAGAATGTGAAGGTATGTCCCACCATGTTGAATGTCAGGACAGTGGCACTATATTTGGAGATACATGCTGTATTTACCTGCATACATTCTTGTTTTGTCTAAAATTTTGCTTAAAACATTTAGATCTCACTTTAATGACTGTGGTATTTCATGCTGGATAACCTTAGCTGACTAAAGCTAACTTGTAGCAGACCTACAGATCCCATCTATGATAGCGACAGACTGAGAAATTACTCTGCACACTAATCGGAGCTCTCAATTTGGGAGCTAACGCTAGCTAACATCTGTCAGCAGATTACACAAACACTGATGAAAGAATTTCTGTCCAGTTTGTGCTCAAACTGAACACTAAAGTGAATGTTTGGACATAGCTGAAGCATCCGCCACTGTATGTAGCTGTATGGGATAGTACTTCATTTTTTTAAATTAGCTTATAGATGTAGGCTAGTGCATAAATACAAGCTGCAGAAAAGTGGGATCCATGTTACAGTTACACTTTAGACAGTAGTGTCAAGGGGGGCTAGAACAGTGGAGAGACACCATGTCCTGTCCCATTTTCATTTGAATTATCAGACAATATGGAAAATTTTCATTAATGCACCTTTAAAATAAAAGTACACACTACATTTTGATTGTACACGGTTTTCTTTGTGGATAACAATGAACTCAATGTTAGCTGTCACAGTAAAACAGCTTCACTGCCACAGTGAAGATATGCAAATTTCAGCAGAATCTCAGCCAGGAGACTCAGTTCATTAAATATCTAGTGAAAGAAAGTGCAACCTCTAGCCTACATCTTTATTTCAGCCCAGTACTTTTCCTATTCTGTCAGCACTCCTGGGAAACCACACCAGATTCAGCACATTGCACAATGGTTGCAACTATTGGTTGATTGGTTGATTTACAGTTTATGCAAATCACTGAATTAAAAGACAATGACTTGGTTTAAGATTAGGGTACGGCAAGTAGTGGTTATAGTTTACAATAGAGTATAGTGTGGTTAGGGTTGTCCTGAAAAATAAAGTCCAGCCAGCCTACACTACACAGTCAGTCCAAACCTAATCTAATCTGTTTGCCTTTGCTGTCTGGACCCAAAGTACTGGTCGATTTGTTGAATGTTTTCCTCCGCAACTCTTTTCATCAAAGCAAAATGTGTTGTTTTATATTCCACATTTCTTTATCTCCTGTGACCTTTTTGGAAACATCAACTGGGTTTGAAACTGCAGATTGGGTCTGGATGGCCTGAACATGAAAGGAGGCATTCAGGCATGAATGGCTCCTTTTACTGTTCCTCACACACTTTATGGAAATTCAGACATTTGCACAAAAAAATCTCATCTTAACTGGGTACAAAGGTCAATGCAAAAGAATGGTGGTCTTTTTAATTAAATGAGAGCAAATGAAGCTTTGACCTCTAAAGTATTTTCAATCATTACAAATTAGATCAGCATGGGATGTGGGATGTCTACCTGTAAGTGCAATCACTACGGGAGAGCCACACATTTTGCTGCCTAATTTAATAACATAACAACACCAGTGCTTTACATGAAACCTCACCTTTATATTTACACATACAAAACATGACACAGAATGTGATACACAAGTGCCAGGAACCACTCTAAGACTAAGTGGCCTCCCATTTCCAAAGCCTACAAATATTGTTTTTATTGATAAGATGACAGATGACTGCCTATAATTTTGGAGCCTTCTTTGATTGTTTTCAAAAAATCTATAACTGTAAGTTAGATTTTACATCAGCAGATGAGATGATTTTACCAAATATTCATTCATTTATCTCTGCCGTAACTTTGGCTGAAATTTGAACATATCAAGGCCTATATGACAAGTAACTAGAAATGAAAATCCAGTTCCAGCAAGTTCTCAGTCTAACTACAGCCAGAAAGCATCTGTCTATCATACAGATATTACAGGAATTATCTTTAAAACTCTTGAACCCAAGCCTATTTCTGCTCTCACCTCCTAATGAATTTGTTGCTACATGTCTCAGCCTGGCAGGTAATGTTAGTTTTCAGGTCGTTTGACATGCGTCTTCTTGGAAATGGAAATGCAAATTTTCCAGACATGACAAGAGTTTAATTCATGTGATGCAAATAACATTTCTGGGAATTAATGATCACACAGTGTTTGTTTATATAAAGAGAGGCTGTCTTTTGCTAGGCTTTCAACATTTATCATGCACTAATGGGGAGAGTATCATGACCAGTATTTGGAGCTGCATACTGAGTAAATTAATGTAACACAACTTCTCCCTCCAGGCTTTCCAGTGCACCAGCTGTAAGTTGCTCTGCTCTGGTATTCAATATGTCTCTGAGCTGATACCAAGATGCTTTAATAAGCTACTTATGTGTCTATTCTCTGCATCTCCCATTTTGTCATTTGTTTTCATTTTTCACTGGCTAACCTACAGGAATGGTGTGGCACTGAAAACTGTAGCAAACACACAATGCTCCATTGTCGTGTCAAGGCTGCTTGCACACACCTCTGGCCCACTTCACTCTCAGTTTATGTACAGCAGGACACAGCTCCTTGTTATGCTGCCATCGGTTAAATTAGTATCCAAACAATGTGTTCCTCAAAGACAGATGGAAAAGCTTGCAGCTGTGCATTAAATCTATCAACCTTACATGAGTGGCAGCACTCCAGTCTGTTTGTGACCAATATATAGAGAGATACTTTGTGAACATGTAGCAAGTTGTTGTTTCTCAGAATAACAAAAGCTTAATGTGAGGTTAACTGTTTTGTAACCTGGTGCTCAAATGCCCACACTCCATTTTATAAAATAATCTCTATTTGGCCTCCAACAATTAATTGATTTATCATTAAAAGCCTGTGCTTTCTTATTCCCTTGCTTAGTCATATGGACATTAAAGGGCTATTATATATTTGAATTTCTTAGAGGGGGTGAGGAAATAAGCAGAGAAGAGGTTATCATGTTAATTTTATAAGCCTGAATCAAACTGGGTGTCTGCAGTGCTCACAGTCTGCATGTCCAGAGCACACTGAATTATTTCAACCTACAATTTACAAAAGGTATGCAAAAACTGAAGCTGTTCCACAAGAGAAACCTGCAGGACAGGAAACATGGTCCCCCAAGAAACAAGCAAAAAGCCTTGGTAGGTGTTTGTTTCCGGATTTGGTGCCTTATTAATTTTTGTCCCTCCTCTCTCTGTTTCTCTCCGAATACAACGTCACAGTGTACACACGCTGTCTTTCATTCAGAAGGAACTCACTCAGGTCTGTTAATGACCATGCGCACTACTCTACGGGTGGTGGGTCTCAGTGTGGAACCGGCGCGCTCGTGTGCCTGAAAAAGCAAGAAAAAGAAAGTCACCGTTTGTTGACGCTCAAGATGTTCCCCCTTGTACTGTGTGTTCTGGAAATGCCAAGAGGGGGGCTGATAACAGCAGCGACCATCACATGCACCGTGTACCTGCTCACAGGGGTTGGACACGACGGGAGGCGTTTCCAGTTTTAGCCGTTTGCTCAGAAACGTTTCTTGCGCTCCCAGCTGTGGGACTGAAGTACCGGTCGAACCCAGTCTTGACAGTAACTGTACTAGTTGGTGCTGGATACAGAAGAGGGACGGAATTTCGTTGTTTATTCAAAAGTGACTTCAGCAATGGAGATCAGCTGGAATGATTAAAATGCTATATAAGTGACCGCACACCCGCAGCTACAAGGAACTGGTGCGCCTTGGCACCGGAGAGAAGCACCAAACTTCAGTGAGCTGAGCACCATTTTAGACGAAATTCAGCACACGGTGGGACTAAGCATGACCCTATGGACTTTACTCTATAACCTAAATGTTTAATAACACCGTACTGTTAGGTGCGTCCGTATTGTGTATGTTTTTGCCGCCCTAACCGTGCCAATGTTGGAATGCCTTGTGACTCTATGCTTTGTGATCCTGGTGGCCTTAATCTGGTCGGGCTCCAAATATTTTGGCACCGAGAGCCCGCCGGCTGCATTGCTGGTTTCACAACAGGCAGCCAAGGACCAGACCAGGTTGTGCGTCTTTGACCGACAGGGGAGCGACGATGCCCAGGCGGCCGCGACTGATCAGAAAGCAGGCGCCGTGGCACTAATCTGCAAACCGTCGGCGCTGGCCAACTACCTCTCGAAACACTGCAGGGCTTTCAGCAATTACTCGCCCTGTGCCGGCTGGACG